GTCACATGGTGTCTTTCTCTTAGGCACCACTTTTCTTAAATTATAACACATGCTATTGGACAACAGTGCACGGAGCCAAACTTGTGGATGAATGCCTTTCATTCCAGCACTCAGAAGGCTGAGACAGGAAGAGCAATGCCAGCCAGCCTAAGCTACACAGAGTTGAAGGCAGCTCAAGCTGCCATATCAAGACCCCATATCAAAAAAAAAAAAAAAAAAAAAAAAAAAAAAAATGAGGAGGAGCAGCTGCAGCTGCCTTTCAGTAAATGCCTGTTTTGAATGATAGACTGATCGGGATTTCAAACATTGTCCTAGTACTCTGACCTTCATAGAAATGAGGGAATATTTTAGCTTTGACTATTTTTTATTTCCAGTCAAATCTCCCGTTGAACAGCCCACTGGCTGAACAGGGATAAGCAAGCTGGCTATAACAAGGCCACTTGTCTTTGGCAGCTGTCTTTTCCATAGCGCTGTCTGTGGTCCATGCCCAGGCCTGTCCAGATCATGAGGCAGGACTGGAAGCTGATTTTAGAGCTAAGGAACCAGGAAAGAATCCAGCAACTACAAGACTGAATTATATTACTGCCAGTATGGGTAGATATTATTACAAAGACAGAATTGACTGAATCCAGCATGTAAGAAAGTATGGAATCCGCTGGTCGGTGGTGGCACACGCCTTTAATCCCGGCACTCAGGAAGCAGAGGCAGGTGGATCTCTGTGAGTTTGAGGCCAGCCTGGTCTACAAAACAAAAAAAAAAAAGTATGGAAGCAAAAACATGACTGTGTTGTGTAAGCGGCAATTCGGGAGTTCCTATATAGGAGCTTTGCTAAAGCTATAATGAAGCAGGTTCCTCTTCTTCAATGCAGCAACTTAGTTGGATCATGGAAAAAGGAGAGTTGAAACTAGATGGCTATCTTGGGGTGTAGAGGCTGACAAGGAGAAAGAGTCTTGGTAATCGCAGCCTTTTGGTACAGGCACAGCTGTTGGGAATATAGAACATCTGAAAAGGACTTAGCTAGCTGCTGTATTTGTTTGGAGGTTTGTTTTTAAAACAGGTCTTATGTAACCCAGACGGATCTCAAACTCACTATTTAACAGAGGATGATCTTGAACTGCTGATGTTTCTGCCTCCAACTCCCAAGTATGAGGCATATATCACCATGCCCAGTCTATGCAGTACCAGATCAAACCCAAGGCCTCATTCATGCTAGGCACTCTACTATTAAGGTATAGTTGCCAGCCCTATTTAGTTTGATATGCCTGTTTATAATGTGCCTGCTCCATGACCCTTTTCAGTACCAACCTGGTATGTTGTTAGCCTTTCGTCACTGACAAATGCCTACTAACAGGACAAGGTAACAGGATAAAGGTTTCCTTTCCATTAAGGTTTCAGAGTTTCAGTCCATAGGCAATCTGATTCACAACTCAATCCTGCAGACAGGACAGCAGAGCAGAGCGAAGTTGTTCACCTCAGGGACACCAGTAAGCAGAAGTAGAAAACAGATCTATGCTTTCTCCTTCTTGCCTTTTTATTCCTTCTGGGTTCTCAGACTATTGTATGACACAAGCAGCATTCAGAGTAGCAGCTCCCCACTTAACCATCTCTAGAGATACCTTCCCAAGCACAACAGAAATGTTGCTTACTAATGTCCTCAATATTTCTCCGTCCAAGTTGACAACCAAGATTAACTGTCACAAGTCCACCTTCTGTCAGCCTGACACCCAAACACACCTCCTTCTACCACATGTCCTAAAACCATACCTAATTTCCAAAGGTAGCAACAAGGCCACATGTAATTCATTTTTTAAAAAAATGATAGAATCATACTGTGTGTACCCCAAAACATTTTATTTCATTTCCCCAAAGTCTCAATAGCTCCAACATTGCTCAACCAACAAGTACAAACTTCCCTAAGACTCGAGACAAGCTCTCACCAGTAAGCCCCATAAGACCAAAAGGAAAGTTTTGCATTTCCCAAATACAAGGCAGAGCAAAGACTTCTATTCCAAAAGGAAAACAGGGAAAGGTGGGCGTATACCAAAGCAAGATGGAAATCAACCAACCTGGCAACTGTAAGCTCCCATAGCTCAGTGGCTGGCATCTCAGGCATGTAGTGCCATGTGTGTTCATGGTGCCAAAAGGCTGGGGCTCACTGTCCAGAGCTCTCCTTGGCAAACAGTCAACATTCCTAGTATCTTCAGCTTCTTGAGGTATCCATCCCATGACAGCTTCGTCTACTGCTCTCATACCCAAGGGCTATGACATCCAAGTACTCTTACCACTGCCATACATCATCTGGCCTCCTGAACATTCCTGTGAAATCTGAGAGAAGCTTCTATGACTTGCCTTGCAAAAACATCAGATTTAAGACAGCAAGGTCTGCCAGTTCCCAGTGTAGACAAATTCACTTAATGTTCTCTAATCCAGTTTTCAACACTCCTGAGCACAGGCTTTACTTTTTGTGTCTCTATAAACCATTCTGGTCTTCTGCGCTACTCCATCAGAATCACCCATAGTTCTGTTTACAGTATGTTAAACTGTGCTAGCCTAGGGGTGTCTGGGTAACTGAGCAAGATTGGAGGACTATATTACATCTTGGTAGGTCAGTTCTTACCTAACATGCACAAAGATCTCTAATCTCTAGCTCAAAACAAACTTGGGGGACAATTCCCTAGGCCCTCTAGCAAAGGGGTACCTCTGTAGGTAGATTTTTTAATTCATCTTTTCAATGAACTTGAACTTTTACACTCTTCTTTTTTGAGACAGGGTCTCTCTATATAGCTCCAACTGTCCTGGAACTCACTATGTAGACCAAACTGGCCCCAAATTCAGAGAGAATGACCTGCCTCTGCCTCCCTAGTGCTAGGATTAACACCAGGTTATACTCTTAATTATAGGATGAGTAGGCTCTCTGTGATCATTGAGCTGCCCTCAAGGCATCTTATCCAATGGCCTGGTACAAACAATGGTGCTAGTCTCTAATGATTATCCATTTTATTTATTAGTCCCAACTTTAAATATGACCTTTTTTAGCCAGTTTAATTTTAAATCTTTCTACTCTTTTTTTCCCCTCTCCTTTAAATGTTCACTGTAAGGTCTAGCTAAAAGGGTTGGGTTTTTTTTTTGTTTGTTTGTTTGTTTTGCTTTTTGTTTGTTTGTTTGTTTGTTACACAGCAAAAGCCCTATGGTAGCCCAAATTATGGACTACCTTAAAATTTCCTAAATTTCCTTTTTCCAGGGGATTGGAAAGATGGTAAGAACCACGGGACCACAAGGTCCACTGTGAAAATGTCTTCTAAATATGACAGGGAAGCCATACCAGTCTACAATATGGCTGCCTGGACAAGACCTGAATAATTCCAACACCAGCTGACATACTAATGTGAATGAGGAAAGCTCACAGGGCCCAACCCTAGATGAAGAACTACAAGCAATTCACAAGTGCTGAGAGAGGGAAGAAGCCCCTAATTACTATCCAATACCAAGAGGTCAGCCCTAGAATCATATAATATAAGCAACACTCAATAGACTAAGCAAATTGCATTTATACACTTATTAATTTGTATGTGTATGTGTGTATAACAAGGATAACTTTTTAAAAAAACAGGTCATGAATTTGAGAGGAAGTAGGAGTTGGGGGATATGAAAAGAGTAAAAATGAGGAGAAGGAAGAGAAATTATGCAATATTTTAAAATACAAGCCAACTCTCCCGGTTTTCAAAAACCTCTACTACAACCACAAGCATCCTTAACACTCATTAGCACACAGGCAATATGACCTGGGACCAGCCATTTAACCTCTTGTACAATAGTAATACCTGCTGATATGCCTAGGGTGAGAGGAGCACATGGAACACAACAGTTCTGTGCCTACTAGGAGACAGCAAATATCCAAAACATACTAGCTATCATTGTTCAACACTATTATTGCTTTATTATTTTATAATACAAAGATATGCAAGCCCAAAATTTTACAAGTGGCAGCACAGAACTAGTTTTATAAAAGATGAAATAATGTATGCCATCCAATTGTAAAAATATCTCAAAGTATATTATAGGGGTTAGAGAGGTGACTTGGCAGTTAAAAGCACTTGCTGCTTTCACAGAGGACCTGGGTTCAGTTTCAGCACCCACATCACAGCTTACAGTGGTCTATAACTCCATTTCCAGAGGATCTAGCACCCTCTTCTAGTCCCCAGGGAAACCAGTCCCACACATGCTACAGAGACATATATGCAGGCAAAAATACTTGTGCACATAAAATAATTTATTAAAAAATAGTCTCCTCCAATAGTAAAATTAGTTTTTCCTAAATATCAATTAATCATACATAAATTAATTAGAAATACTTCTAACTTAATATATCTACCACCAATTATAAGTTATCATATATACAATATTTTCTCCCACATTCTTACTGTTATAAGCATGTACATTAAAGTACACCTTTTTGTTTTGTTTTGTTTGAGACAGTCTCCCTATGTAGGCCTAGCAGCCAAGGAACTCAATATGTAGGCAAGACTGACCTCAAACTCAGAGATCCACCTGCCCTCCCTCTACCTTCTGAGTGCTGAGATTAAAGGCATGTGCCATCATGTCCAGCTGAAGGAGATTTTTAAATACAAAAATTAAAAGAAAGCTAGTGAGATGCTCAGTGGGTAAACGCCAGAGCCTACATGGAAGAAGAGAGCCAACTCCCACAAATTGTCCTCTGACCTCCAAAGTGAAACATACACAAGCCTGCATGCATACACATAAGCACACACACACACACACACACACACATGCACACACACACACACACACACAAACTCTAAATGTACAAAAAAAGGAAGCAAATCATCTACATTTTAAATGGTTGTAAACTCTGTTAACAGTTAGTTCACCTACCTTCCAAATGTACTTAAAATACACTTACTTGAAACGACAATCTCCTGAGGGGTAACAGAAAATGTGAGACTAGCTGTTCCTTATGAGCAAAGGAGCCTGGTGCCTACCTTCTTCTCCCTCCCGCTGTCTGCCTGGACAGTTCCTAGCCGCGCTTTGAAGTGTTCACAGTCCAATCTCAGCTGCTCTAATTCTTGTTCCTTCCTTTCCAGGTCTAGGAGAGACAGAAAAACACTCAAGACATGTCAGGTCATACTTAACACTCTTACGGTACTGTTTCTGAGGCCTCTTCCATTTCTCAAGTCACACCAGAAATCTTGTTTAATTCAGGGGCACAGGATGGATGGATGCTGGGGAATGAACACTGGGCCCATGCACACTATGATACTAAACTGCCTCCAGTCCTGAAGGAGATTCTGTTGTTGTCTTACTTTGTGATTTTAAGACCTCATTTACTGCCAGACAAGTACTCAAGGCTTCAAGAAAATGAGTTATTTAAAGGACTGAAGGCAGAGCTGAGAAGCCCAACTATCTCATGGCACAAACCTGTATCTGTGCCATAAAAAGCAGAAGGCATCTCATGAGTGGCTGGTGCCAGCAGGAGCTGACTCACAAAGCACGTCCCACCAACTGGCAGACTGACTCAATGGGAACAACTGCAGTAGTAGTCCATGGAGGCGGGAAGCAACAGAGAACAAGGCAAGAAAATGCTAGTGAGGGGGTAGTGACTATGTAACACTTCCTCTCTACCATAACCATTCAGCTTATGAGTCAAATGGCCAACAAAAAAACCAAGACACCCACACCAATAACTCAATGAAAAATGCTGTCAACTTTAAATACAGTCAGACTGCAGAAATACTGATGTTCCAGAAAATTGAACACTTAATTCAAGTTTTTAAGAGTTTTGTTTCAAGGCTAAGAAGTTAAACTTGGCCAACATGTACCAAGATGGCTGACTAAAGCCCAATGTGCATCATGATCCCAGGACATTTGGGACCTAATGCATAGAGCTTGTGGTTCTGTGGGTATGGGTGGGCCTTAGGACTTGCATTTCTTTTCTGTAAATTTCTCTATTAATGAGTATATGAATATATGTAATATATTTTGCTCATTTCCACCCCCATTATCCTCATGCCCATCCAACTCCTGATGACCACCTTATCAACAAGAAGTTTCTGCCAACTCTAATCTTCTTTGTTGCTGCTTTTTTGGTGTGTGTGTGTGTGTGTGTGTCCTTCTGAGTTTAATGTTGCATGACATAGAGCATGGGCAATGACTACACCACTGAAGAAAATTACTCCCCTTCCCAGTCACTGCCAATAGCTCCTCAGAGAGGGGTAAAGAGAATTTACATTCTTTCTTTCTTTCTTTCTTTTTTTTTTTTTTTTTTTTAAGATTTATATGAGAAATGGCTCAGATGCTAAGAGTGCTGGCTGCTCTTCCAGAGGTCCTGAGTTCAACCCCCAGCCAACCGCACGGTGGCTCACAACCATCTGTTATGAGATCTGGTGCCCTCTTCTGGCCCACAGGTATATGTGCAGGCAGAACACTGGATACATAATAAATAAATAAATCTTTAGAGAAAAACAAAAAGACACAGGGGGATTGGAAAGATGGCTCAGTGGTTAAGAACACTGGCTGCTTTTGCAGTTTTGTTCCCAGCACCCACATGGCAGCTTACAACTGCCTGTAACTCTGACTTTGACTTCTGACCTCAGCACCAAGCATGTAATGTGGTACACATACATACATGCAGGTAGTCACACATCACACATCCACATAAAAGGTAAATAAACCTAAAAAAAAAAAAAGTACTTCAAATCAACAGCCTCTGCTCTCATCACCAGTAACAGAAAAGGAACACAGTGAACAAGAGAGCTAAGCTACAGCAGTGTGAGAGTATGAATGGTGGGCAGTGGGACCAGGTAAGGGAGAGAGCCAGCGTGTCTAAAAACATATGGAAGACCATCTACTCTCCACCCTCAATGAAGTGCAGGCCAAGAAAGGGGCAGGGCTTTGTGCTCCAGAGGTCTGAGAAGGCAAGGGAACACTCACACAAAAAACCCTGGGGGCTGCCTAGAGCTGCTTGGCATCCCGAGTGTTTTGCAGAAAGAAATAAGGAGAGTGTCTACGTTTCCTTGAGACCCTGTCCAAGAAGGAAGATTAGAACCCAAAGGTCAACAGACAAGCTGGAGATTGTGAAACTGGCTGGCAAGCTCCCACTCACATTTCCTAGAAGCATGCAAGCTATGCTGGGCTATTTATTCTCCCCTACGTCAGAGCTTTCTTTCTTCTCTGACTTTCAGGTATGTCATGCTATATGAACTCTACTTTGTCCTAATAATCATGACCACCCAAGAAACCAATGAGCAGTGGAACTTTATGCCTTAAAAATAATATTGCTGAGCTGTGAGGTGGTGGCACACACCTTTAATCCCAGCTTTCAGAAGGCAGAAGCAGTCAGATCTCTGAGTTTGAGGCCAGTCTGGTCTACAAAGCAAGTTTCGGGACATCCAGGGCTATTACACAGAGAAACCCTGTCCTGAAAAAAACAAAACAAAACAAAAAACCACAAATAAACAAAAATATTGCTGAATATGTAACAGTGCTGAATGTTACTTATACATACACATATGCACATTATAATCATATATGACTATAAAATACATGCCACATAACCAGACAAACTAAATAATAAAATTATCAGTAGCTTCAATTTTTCTCATTGTAGCTAACTCAAGTCTGCTTCTATTATTGAACTACGCTACTCGGACACACCCAAAAGGAATGGGGTAATTAAATCTCTACAAATCTTGTCATGTAAAAAATATATAGGAATTAATTTTAATAACTCAGTGCTTTTGTTATGGTTAGGTCATCTCTGTATAGTTTTATGTGAACTTTCTACAGGCTTTCATACCAAAAGTGACAGGCTTAACAAGGCCCTTGTTAAATATTGGAACCCCAGAAAATTTCAAGCCACTGCTCACAAGACTATAACCACCATATACAACAGGTGTATCAGTTGTGTCAGATTGCCGCCTTGTGGCCAGATGGGAGCATTGCTTGCAACCGACCACCATCACCAGGACGTGGGACTGTCATGTTTTGTTTTATGCACTACCCCAAGTGCCTAGGAAAGCATAGAGAACATTGTAGGTACTACCTAAATATTTTTCACAAAATGAATATCATTTCTTTATATATTCTTTGCCTTTATCCTTGGGTAGAAAAATATAGCTTTGGTTAAGACAGATCTTCTCCCTTAAGAATATAATGTTTTTAAACTGGACAGTGGTGGCCCATGTCTTTAATCCCAGCACTCCCAGAGGGAGAAATAGTAAGATTTCTATTAGTTCAGGGCCAGACTGATCCACACAGCAAGTTCCAAGACAACCAAAGCTTCACAGAAAAAAAAAAAAAGCAAACAAAGGAAGAATACTACTACTTTTAGTAGAGGAGTAGTTGGTGGCCCACAACTTTAATCACAGCACTAAGGAGGCAGAGGCAGGTGGATCTCTTAGTTCAAGGCCAGCCTGACCTACAATACACAGCGAGTTCCAGGACAGCCAGAGCTACAGAGAAACCTTGTGTGTGTGTGTTTTGGGGGTGAGAGAGATAATACTACCCTTGGTCAGGAGTGGTAGCACACACATTTAATCCCAGCACTCAGGAGGCAGCAGGCAGACTTCTGTGAATTCCAGGCCAGCCTAGTCTACAGAATATCTCTAAAACAGTCATAAAAATAATTCACAAAAAATAACATTAATTTTGCAAATTTTTTAAACCTAGGAACAGAAATAATATACACAGAACAGAGACATATTACACAAACTAAACTCTATATGAAAACAGGGAAGAGTCTCTCACCCAACCTATTTCCATTGCTTTTGGTTTTTCAAAACAGAGGAGAATCTTTAGCTACATAAACTGGATAGAGGGCAGCACACTAGACAGACTAGTAATACACAAAAGCCATCTGTGCCACATACTGTTTCTTTTTTTTAAGATTTTATTTATTACATATACAGTATTCTGTCGGCATATATGCCTGAGAGCCAGAAGAGGGCGCCAGATCTCATTACAGATGGCTATGAGCCACCATGCAGTTGCTGGGAATTGAACTTAGGACCTCTGTAAGAGCAGCTAGTGCTCTTAACCTGAGCCATCTCTCCAGCCCCACCACATACTGTTTCAACCGCAGCATATCTTTTAGAACAACTATTTTCCCATAGCTCTTCTGACTTTGCTTACTGATTTAAATGACACTCTCACTGCATTTTCCAGAATCCAGCTGCCTCCGCCTCCCTGGGCTGGAATTATAGGTATGGACCACCACACCTAGCCTGATAGGTTTGAGTTTGTGATTTTTTTGTTAGTGATGGAGGTAGTTAGCTGCTTGGCATCTGTTAGTATTCAGGTATCTGTACTGGCCTGTCCTTGGGGTCCTGAAAAGATACACCCTCAGCTGCGGCCACTAAGAGTACCACCTGTGCACATTCACTACGTTCCTTTTTAAAACAACCTCCCCCCTCCCTCTAGTTCTCCCACTCTCCCTCTCCTTCCCTCCTTCCTCTCTCCTCTCCCTCTCTCCCCCCCCCACTACTTTTGTCCCCAATGATGAGTGTGTCTTCTTTTCTGCCCCTTCTCTCTCTTCAAATAAACCTATGTGAGCCTTGTTTTGTGGCATGACTTTTCTTCAGTGTTTTTAAATAAATCACAACAGTATCACTATGGATTGAACCTAAAGTCTTGTGAATGTGTGGTAAACCCTCTATCACTATATCACCAGCCCTCTTTTTTCATTTTTTTTTTTTTTTTTAGGTTTTCAACAATTATCTTTTTTTATTTTTTTAATAATTTATTTTTATTTCATGTGCATTGGTGTTTTGTCTGAATGTTTGTCTGATCTTGGAGTTACAGACAGTTGTTAGTTGTCATGTGGGTGCTGGGAATTGAACCTGGGTCCTCTGGAAGAATAGTCAGTGCTCCTAACCACTGAGCCATCTCTCCAGGTTCTTTTTCTTTCTTTTCTTTTTTTTTTTCCCCTCATTTTTGAGGCAAGATAGCCCAGACTGAACTTAAATTTACTCTGTAGTCCTGACAGGACTCAAAATCACCATCCTCCTGCTACAGCTACAGACCTAGCTTTGACAGCTTTGATAACATAAGAATGACTATCTCGGCATTCAGCCTATTCAGACAGAAGAG